ACCACCAAATTCCTTTAATCGTCGTTTTGAGCAATGCGAGGAAATCACAATGTTTAGCAAACTAGATGTTTGCTTTATCTAGCAGGTTTATTTTTTTTGTTTAACTTTTTACAAGCTTTTCTTTAACTTGCTTCCTCGTCCAGTCTGTCAATACTCCCCAGGAGTAGCATATTCTCTACAGCTTCCCAAAGTATCATGGCGATCGGATGAAAAGTGTAGTAATGAATAAAAGACAAATAAAATCTGACGAAATATATTAGGAAGGTTTTCACCAATGCTCTACCCAGTGGCGTAGCGAGGTCGGGTGTCACCCGGTGCGGCACTTAATGGTGTCACCCCCCCCCCCCCCAGAGGCATAGAGACCCTTCCCAGGGACAAACTTTCAAATTTTTTCTCTATATATTTTGCTATTTTTTGCCTTGGTGTCACCCCCCCCCCCCTAAATGGTGTCACCCGGTGCGGTCCGCACCCCCCGCCCCCCCCCCCCCCCTCGCTACGCCCCTGGCTCTACCTACCCTATATTCTTAGACGCGTGACCTTGTTTTCTAGAACTAAATTATTTAAATGTTAACAGTGCCTTCGTTTGAGTCATATTTATCGGGGAACGGGTTTCCCTACACTACCGCCCCAAAAAAAAGCACGGGGTGCCAAATCGCACTCTGCTTGTGCGCCGGCGGACGCGCCTGATTATGTTTGGTGAACTCTAAAACCCAATCTAATCCATAGTCTTTTACAATGTTCTAAACGGACGTAGGTGTCATATCGCTCACGGGATAGATCGGGGCGCCAAATCGCACCCTGCAGGGGGCCACTCGAACGAATGTAGAGAAAAAACAAATCGCGCCCTGTCGGGACGCCACCCATGTGAATTCGATTTCTTTTTGCAGAAACCTCCCCAGAATTCTTCTCAACGACTTCCTAACGTTTTATGGCGGTCTGATGAAAGGTGTAGTAATGCATAAAAGACAGACAGACACACACACACACAGACACACCTACATTGTTTTTTATACATATAAATGTGTATACAGGGAGGTTATAAATTTTAAGTATGTGCAAGTGAAAACTTCAAATTCGAGCGAGAGGATGGGTCATTTTATCTAGCAGGTTGCTATGAATTGTCTAGCGTTTCTTTAACTCTTTCTGGAGAAAGTCTATCTATTGTTTACCGTTTTGTTAACACCTTTTGTTGCCGGCTCCCTCCACAATAAACGAAGGATCCGCTACAGAAGTGCCAGATTTACGACCCACCATTAGGGGCGAACGTGCTAGTTAGACACTAACAAGACAACAATGGAGAGGATTTAGTTTGGACAAAATTAGAATTGTGGGGGATCTTTGATGTTGTTGATTGCCTCACTTTGTTTAAAGGAAAAAAAAACAACAGCTAGAGCTTCAGCGGGGAAGGGCATTGCGTTACGTAGAGTATCGACTATTCCTCTCTGTGCTGAATTCTAAATGTGTGCTCCTCTATTGTGTAGTCTACTCCCTCTATTGTCTATTACCTTTATTGTGTAGTGTACTCTACTCTCTTTATTGTATACTCTACTCTCTCTATTGTGTACTCTACTCTCTCTATTGTGTACTCTACTCCCTCTATTGTGTAGTGTACTCTACTCTCTCTATTGTGTACTCTACTCTCTCTATTGTGTACTCTACTCTCTCTATTGTGTACTCTACTCTCTCTATTGTGTACTCTACTCCCTCTATTGTGTAGTCTACTACCTCTATTGTGTACTCTACTCTCTCTATTGTGTACTCTACTCTCTCTATTGTGTACTCTACTCTCTCTATTGTGTACTCTACTCTCTCTATTGTGTACTCTACTCTCTCTATTGTGTACTCTACTCTCTCTATTGTGTACTCTACTCTCTCTATTGTGTACTCTACTCTCTCTATTGTGTACTCTACTCCCTCTATTGTCTACTCCCTCTATTGTGTACTCTACTCCATTAATAGTGTAGTTTACTCCCTCTTTTGTGTAGTGTACTCTACTCCTACTATTGTTTAGTCTACTCCCTCTATTGTCTACTCCCTCTTTTGTGTAGTCTAATCCCTCTATTGTGTACTCTACTCCCTCTATTATGTAGTCTACTCCCTCTATTGTCTACTCCCTCTATTGTCTACTCCCTCTATTGTGTACTCTACTCTCTCTATTGTGTACTCTACTTCCTCTATTGTCTACTCCCTCTATTGTGTAGTCTACTCCCTCTATTGTGTACTCTACTCCCTCTATTGTGTACTCTACTCCCTCTATTATGTAGTCTACTCCCTCTATTGTCTACTCCCTCTATTGTCTACTCCCTCTATTATGTAGTTTACTCCTTCTATTGTGTACTCTACTCCCTCTATTGTGTAGTTTACTTCCTCTATTGTGTAGTCTACTCCCTCTATTGTGTAGTCTACTCCCTCTATTGTCTACTCCCTCTATTGTGTACTCTACTCTCTCTATTGTGTACTCTACTCCCTCTATTGTGTAGTCTACTCCCTCTATTGTCTACTCCCTCTATTGTGTACTCTACTCTCTCTATTGTGTACTCTACTCCCTCTATTGTGTACTCTACTCCCTCTATTGTGTAGTCTACTCCCTCTATTGTCTACTCCCTCTATTGTCTACTCCCTCTATTGTCTACTCCCTCTATTGTGTACTCTACTCTCTCTATTGTGTACTCTACTCCCTCTATTGTGTACTCTACTCCCTCTATTGTGTAGTCTACTCCCTCTATTGTCTACTCCCTCTATTGTCTACTCCCTCTATTGTGTACTCTACTCTCTCTATTGTGTACTCTACTCCCTCTATTGTGTACTCTACTCCCTCTATTGTGTTGTCTACTACCTCTATTGTGTAGTCTACTCCCTCTATTGTGTAGTCTACTCCCTCTATTGTGTAGTCTACTCCCTCTATTGTGTACTCTACTCCCTCTATTGTGTAGTCTACTACCTCTATTGTGTAGTCTACTACCTCTATTGTGTAGTCTACTCTCTCTATTGTGTAGTCTACTCTCTCTATTGTGTACTCTACTCCCTCTATTGTGTAGTCTACTCTCTCTATTGTGTAGTCTACTACCTCTATTGTGTAGTCTACTACCTCTATTGTGTACTCTACACCCTCTATTGTGCAATGTGTTCCCTCTATTGTTCCCTGGATGTCACACAATTTTATCGTTTATTACTACCGTAAACTCTTTGGTCATGCCAACATATCATTCCCCCCCCCCCCTCCCTTCCCCTCTCCTTTTCAATATCGTTAGTTTTAATATCCTGATCAATACGTTGGTGTCAGGATCGGCATTTTAAATTGACATCAGACAAGCAAATTTTTAAAAGCCGAAGAACCGAACCTAATTGTTAAATACATTTTGTTTTATTTAAATGATGTAGAGATCTAAATGCGCAAACATCACGCAGCTATTTCATAAGAGCTGGCTGGAATTAAAACCTTTCGAACAAATTAACAGTTCTCTTCTAGAACATAACATCCTACATAGAAAATTAAATGCAACGTAAAACTTTAAGAAGTAATTTAACAATACAGATAAAAGAAAGGTAAGCGTGTTCACATCTCTACAATTCTATTTGTTTAAAACAGTTATCTTTCCTTATTATCAAAACTCTTTTTTTTTTTTGCGCTATAGCATTCTCACCTAGATGAAACTTCAATCATGTTCATCCACCGCAGAGGCCAGTGTTTCTTTCAGACTTTTTATCAGTGGGGGGGGGGGGGGGGGGTGACACTTGAAGCGTTCAGGGGTGGGGGGGGGGGGGGGGGTCGACTAAATATTTCAGGTTGTCAGACACTGGTAAAATATATATGTAAAAAATAAAATAAACAGATCTACTACAGTGGTGATTTTTCTACAGTAACTAACACACTGTTGCGTAGCGAAAATAAAAACTGCATGAGATGTAGTTGGAAAGATAGGCAACAACCACTTCCATGACGAATTAATCATCTTTTAATTAGTCTAATGGGTGATAATAAAGCTCATTTAAATAGTTTTGTACCAAGTTTATTTAAAAAACAATTTCTTTTCTTAGTTATTATTTAAATGAGAAATACTAGAGAATAGTATAATTATAAAAAGGAATGTATTCGAAATCAATAATATAAATACAAAACAAAATGATTAAAACTAACTGGTGAAACCATTCATATACTTTTGACCGACTTGTCAAATATCGACTGTATAGAGGACAAATGCCGTATGTCAGAAAACCATCAGGTCGAGAATAATGAGTTTATAAATATCATTACTACAATATTAAAATAGTGCACAGTTTTGTGTTGAAGCATTAAAAAGAATAATAGCATTTTAGCTTTCAGACATTTTGTATTATAATGACGTTTATAAACTCGATTACTTCCGCCCCGATATGCGTTTGGGCCTATATTATGCGTGGTTTGTTATACCACGAGAGATATACTTTTGCAATGAAATAGGTAAATTACTTAATTAGGGATAGGTATCATTTGGTTATATTGTAATATGTATCGTTGGTGGTTGGTATAAAGCATTGCTTTTCGCTTTGAAGTTTTATTTTTTTTGTAAGATTTTGTAAATATAGGTTAACTAGGTTAATGAGCTGATACAGTAGGCTATTAATTAACAGAATCTAACGGCCGACAATTGTTTCTAAATTAATTCATCATAATCTGGGTTTCTTACAATTTATATTAATAACACTTCATGGAGTAAATGAAGGGCGTAAAGGAGTTCTAAAAATGTTATACGCCTAAGGGGTTGTCCTACTGTATATTTCCCACTGTAATGTTATACTACAGATGTCCTATTGTATAGTCATACTACATATGTCCTGTATTTTTCTGTGGTATCGTACTATGGTATTGTAATACTGCATATGCCCATAGTATTGACCTTTTATATTGTCCAACTTTATTATCGTATTGTATTTTCCTATTCTATTGCCCTATTTTACTGTCCATCTAAACTATCCTACGCTTGTTTTTATTTAAAAGATCCCTAACACGTATTTACAGAATGGTTAAACGAAGGGCCTTCATCCTCTTGTCGCCATGTAGCAAGGTTGTGCTGTTCATTTCCGTCGCCACAGGGATGTTGGCTGTCTCACGTGAGTAGTCGACGTCATGCTAGATCTATTTTTGGAACTGAGCAGTGACAGTAGTGTGTATATTATGAGTCTTATAGGCTAAATTATTACTGTTTCTATTGCTTCATATCTCTTCATGCTTAACCCCGTTGTAGTTGTGACATGGAGCATTGTAATATTCAAGATAAGCTCGACCATACTGAGAAGACAGGCTTTGAAAACTGTGGTTAAGCACACATCTATTTTAATGGGTGCCGAAAAAAAGTAATTTAAAATAAAATGCCCAAACTGTGCTGATATTGAACATAAATGAGACATTGCTAATAGAACACGGAATTAACTTTTTAAAAACTAGTTTCAAACTAGATTTCTTTTTACGATATGTTTACTCGGGCTGTGACTGATATTTGGCTTGTGTTTGACCCCTATCTGTTAAAGACAGGTCTATAGAAACATATTCTAACTTCATTTATATTTAAATATAAAAAAATATATTGCACGCAGGATTTATTAGTAGTAAACTTCTAAACATTAAAATATATTTTATATTACTCCATAAATTAGCCAAGTTTTATTTACTTATATCATACTTTATTTGCTTAGGTGGAGCTACCATACCCGAATCAACATGCGAGGTAAATTCATCTGCCTTTTTTCAATTTAACACAATCGTTCTATTTGGAAACGCTTCAATAATTACCGACTGACGCCAACGCTTTTTGTTTTATAACAATTACATAAGCATATTTATAAAATGTTAGATTTGATGATAACATTGCAATGTAGAGATAACAGATCGTGTTCTAGATGTTTCTATTGTTTCAGCTCGGGGGTACATCGTCCATACTTCAACAAGGCCCACACTTCAACAAAGATCATTATATATTCGACCTCCATGACATCTTCAATCTAAAGGTAGATGTGTCAGCTTATCCTGACGAGGTGTGTGATGGGAGTGTACAAATAATAAACGTCAACCTGATGAGATGGCCTAACCTGACAGTGACCCCCAGTGAGTGTTCGTGTTATAGCATACAGTAGCCAAACTTTGAGAGGCGGTGAGTGAGTGTTCGTGTTATAGCATACAGTAGCCAAACTTTGAGAGATGGCGAGTGAGTGTTCGTGTTATAGCATACAGTAGCCAAACTTTGAGAGGCGGTGAGTGAGTGTTCGTGTTATAGCATACAGTAGCCAAACTTTGAGAGATGGCGAGTGAGTGTTCGTGTTATAGCATACAGTAGCCAAACTTTGAGAGGCGGTGAGTGAGTGTTCGTGTTATAGCATACAGTAGCCAAACTTTCAGAGATGGCGAGTGAGTGTTCGTGTTATAGCATACAGTAGCCAAACTTTGAGAGGCGGTGAGTGAGTGTTCGTGTTATAGCATACAGTAGCCAAACTTTCAGAGATGGCGAGTGAGTGTTCGTGTTATAGCATACAGTAGCCAAATTTTGAGAGACGGTGAGGGCCGGAGTAGAGTCGGTGGAGCCTATAATTTGAGTACTGTTTCAGATAGAAACACGAAATTTAACATAAAAATAAAAACATCTAACTTTCTGCCTTCTGTCAAATTTTGAATAATTTATGTTAGCTGGAAACAATAATTTACGCTATTTTCGATTTCTCAAAAAATATAAAATATATATTAAAACAACAGAGGATTGCAAATCGGGGTAAGGGCATGCTTTTTAATCCATTTTTAATTAAAGTATTGGAACCTAATAAAAATAGCAAACGGACGTATCATTAAAGCTATACACAGAAAATTAGCTAGATCTATGTAATGCGTTATACTTTTGAATGGGAAACAAAATCTTGTTTGGAAGTCGCCATTATTGTTATAAAAAGTAAATAAATCATGTGACGTCACTATAAGTGATGTCATTGATCTGATTAACAGTTTGGTTAAAAGAACACTATTCTCCACCTAAATAGGTATTTTACAGCTCTACACATAATGCAGATTCTCTCATGTAACAAAACAGACAAAAAAATAATAATACAGACATGTAAACAAACATGAGTTTTAGTAGTATATAGATTACATGAAAGATTGTTATTAATTAAAACTTTTTATGAGTTTTTTTCTTTCTTCTTTGTAATGTTAGACGGGGCTTCCTCCAACACAATTAAGTATTACGTCTTAATTAACATGTTATGCGCCGTGTACGTTACTAGGATTTCAGCCCGCTTTTCTAACTTTGGAGATTTTGTTATTGTTTGTATCTAATATTTAGTATCAGTCTTTTCAATTACATCCAGCATAATAACAACAAAAAACATTGTACTGTTTAAAATATCTACAGTGCCACCATCGTCGAATATAAAATTCTTCTACAAGCCTAACCCTGGACTACACACGTATGGATATTTTAGCAAAATACACTATTCTAAACCCATATTGGAAGGACGTAGTATCATCAACTTTAACATTTCTGTGAGTTAGATATTTTAATATAAAATTTTAAATAAACATATTAGGCCTATACATACATAATATGTCTCATGACACATCCTCCTAGATCTCACTGACACTACTGCAACATATTTTGTTTGCTATTTAAAATAAAAGACATTGTTTTCATTGTATGGCAGGTGAATGATAAAAACTACTCACATTCAGCTTTGATTAGTTTTAAGAGCTCCAAGAATTCATGGTGTCAAGTGACGAAAAAGGAACCAGACGCAACAGGAGTCATTAGGGCGAATGTTTATTGTGATTACCCAAAACACAACACTCAAATCCAGTACATAAAGTTGCTGGATCCCGAGTTCAATGGTATCTTTTAATAATATGTTCATACAGTTATTTGGATCAATCTACCTATCATTCCAACATACACAGAGAGACAAAGACACACACACAAAGGAACACACACACACACACACACATATATATATATATATATATATATATATATATATATATATATATATATATATATATATATATATATATATATATATAATCTAGATAATAAAAAACATTGAAGCAAAGTAACTAACATTACAAATAACACGTACCACATAATAAATTTAATTTCAGATTTTTTAAAGATTGAGGCTGGTGGAATAATTTTAATAATGCCGAAGATTCTACAGTTGGGCTCGGGCAAGCACGGATTCAAATTCCAAGTGAATTATATTGTCCAGCGAGTTGGTGAATTTGCCTCAACGCTGGAAGTTTACCTAGACCTTGCTTCAAGAAACGTGTCCAATAGCCCTACAACGTCATTTAGCTTCTCAGATACAATACAAACAATTTCGTACTCAAAAACAAGATCGTTATTATCAACATTGACAACAGACACAAATATAATCTTACCTTCCCCACAAAGTACATTTACATTCCTCACAAATGGCTTCACGACAGACACAAATATAATCTCACCTTCCCCACAAAGTACATTTACATTCCTCACAAATGGCTTCACGACAGACACAAATAAAATCTCACCTACCCCACAAAGTACATTTACATTCCTCACAAATGGCATCATGACAGACACAAATATAATCTCACCTTCCCCCCAAAGTACATTTACATTCCTCATAAATGGCTTCACGACAGACACAAATATAATCTCACCTTCCCCACAAAGTACATTTACATTCCTCACAAATGGCTTCACGACAGACACAAATAAAATCTCACCTACCCTACAAAGTACATCTACATTCCTCACAAATGGCTTCACGACAGACACAAATATAATCTCACCTACCCCACAAAGTACATCTACATTCCTCACAAATGGCTTCACGACAGACACAAATAAAATCTCACCTACCCCACAAAGTACATCTACATTCCTCACAAATGGCATCACGACAGACACAAATATAATCTCACCTACCCCACAAAGTACATCTACATTCCTCACAAATGGCTTCACGACAGACACAAATAAAATCTCACCTACCCCACAAAGTACATCTACATTCCTCACAAATGGCTTCACGACAGACACAAATAAAATCTCACCTACCCTACAAAGTACATCTACATTCCTCACAAATGGCTTCACGACAGACACAAATAAAATCTCACCTACCCTACAAAGTACATCTACATTCCTCACAAATGGCTTCACGACAGACACAAATAAAATCTCACCTACCCTACAAAGTACATTTATATTCCTCACAAATGGCATCACGACAGACACAAATCTAATCTCTTTTTTATCAAGCTCCTTAACTTCTTTTGACGTCAATCAAAATTTTAATATTTTAGGTTAGTTTTTGAAAATTCCTTTTACAAAGTTTTGTTTAGCTACGTTTGTGTGTGAGTGTGTGTTTGTTTGTTTGTGTGTGTGCGTGCGTGTTCTTGACACTATTCTTATAGAAAATGGATTTTATTTATGTCAGCATATAGCTTTAGTAAGGTTTCATCATACTAAACTTATTTTTTATTTTATTTTTTTGTATTTTTGCAATCGTGTATTTTACTTTCCCATATATAGAGTATAGAGGAAGTTTTGTGATCGTGAACAAAATCACATGTAATTTTGACATTTTCCTTCGCTATTTACCTCAAAAGTTTATTACATACGTAGTATAGGGGACTTATTTTAATAGGGCAAAAATAATAAATCGAGATTTATCAAAATTCCAGCTTTTATGCGTGATTGACCTGGAGAAACTCTGTGTGTGTGTGTGTGTGTGTGTGTGCGCGCGTGTGTGAACACCATAACTTGAGTACCGTTATAGCTAGGTTGATAAAATTTGATGTTTAAGTATTATATCAAATTTATAGCGATGTATCAAATTTCAGCGATTTCCGATTACCGGAAGTGGAACTTATTCTACTTTCAAATGTTCAAATTATTTTCTATAATCATATAACAATACAGAAATTAAAAATATTATTAGACATACATATTATAGAATTTCAACATTTGATCTTAATGTACGTTTTATTTAGTTCTAAAAGTAATTTTATTACTGTCTACACGTATTTTTAAGTTTTGAATGAATGTCTTATTTTGTAACTGGCGTGCACGTACAAGTATATGAGAACCGCAAGGAATGTTTGATTAAGCTTTAAACGCTTCCGATTTTACACTGTAAATTATTCTAACGACATCCATGCTGAAGACATTTCAGCGGAAGTTTAGAGCCACTCAGTAACTGCAGTAGAATAGAAACTTCCACGTTTCGTCTAGATCAGTAGTCAATTTTACAATCAATGCTAAAAGGTCTATTGTATGTAGCAAAAACTACAAAGACGATTTTAAGAAATATAGAGAATTCTTGCTTAATAAGATTTGACAATTGTCACAATCTGTTTTCCAGACTCACCCCATCCTACAAGATTATATATATATATATATATATATATATATATATATATATATATATATATATATATATATATATATATATATATATATATATATATATATATATATATATATATATATATATATATATATATATATATATATATATATATATATATATATATATATATATATATATATATATATATTTATATGTATATGTATATTTATATATATATATATATATATATATATATATATATATATATATATATATAAATGTATATGTATGTGTGTGTGTGAGTGTGTGTGTGTGTTTAAGTTACATATGATGAGATATAAATAAACATAGTCTTATATAGTTTGATACATACGTGTGATTTGTATATAGGTATACATTTAGAATTAAGCATCTGACTCAACTTTCAGGATCATTAGAAATCACATTGATTGTTGTCGCTGTCATAATTACACTAATTGTGATGCTAGCCGGATTGTATTGGTAGGTGTATAGAGTTTTTGTCTTTTTAAAAGTCGTTTATATATTTTATTGCTGTTTTAATATAATATAACCAATAAACAACGACTAGTTATATAGAGCTATTCAATTTCAATTAGAGTATTAAATCAAACATGTAAATAAGAACTTGTATTGCAAAAGAAACTAAATATTTTATTTTATTTGACTTAGTTAACTATTTGATTTAACCCTCTTTTAGGGCCTCAATCATAACATTCCATTCTGTACCGTACCCTGGTTTTGATGTTGCAACTTCACATGACATTCCTGCTGTCTTTAGTTCTTCAATTGGGCATCCCTGTTTTTCGCTTCCCATTGACATTCATGCTGTGTTTAGTTATTCAATTGGGCATCCATATTTTTCGCTTTCCATGCGGGTTGCACTCAAGTGCCTGTCTATTGTTGTTCTTGTTAATCTTAAAACGTATGCGCAGTGAGAGGACTACTTGTCTTGTAGCCGGAGTGTGGGTAGGGCAAGATCATGTGTAAATTCTAGAGAGGTATAGCTCATTATTTAAATATTTCAATTATTCTACACATAGTTTCAACCATCTAATATAAAAATACCTTCTACCTAGTTGCTGTATGAAGTGGCTATGTCTGGGTGTAGCAGGTCATTCTGACAACTCCTTTAATGCCAGAGAGAGCAGGGCTCAAAGAATGAAAAGCACTAATCTTTGAAATTGTATACACTTCAGGTTGGTGTATTGATATTCTGTGCTCTGGTTTTGAGATAATTTTACTGACAAAATTCATTTATCAATCTGGTTATTTTGTGGTTTTATTCTTTTTTTTAACAATTTAAACATAACTTCACACTTTGATTATATATCGTTTTAAAACATAAATGCATGAAGGGAAAACTTCAGACTTATTTAAATATGTAAATAAATGTTACTGTTTGAATATTTTACTAGGTTTTAACTTTCATTTGAAACAATGTAACTAAACTTTCTCCTCACATACCGGATTTTACTTGTGTCGTCACTCGAAAGTGAATATTTTTAAAAAAATCAGAGTCAATATACTTTTAACTTTTCTTGTAGTTTCATTATTTCCCAAGCCAATGTGTCAATTTCTAATTTAAGTAGTTTCACAATTAATCTTGTTTTATTGATAGAATACACGTTATGATGTATAGATCTTTTAAATATACCAATGATATAATTAGTAACTGTGAAGACAATAAAAAGTAATATAAATTTACATATTTTAATAAAAGATAGATTGCATTTTTTTAAATTTGCAAACATAAGCACATTCATTAAAAACATATTTATTAAAATAATAAACCCAAATAAATACGTTTGTTACTTGCAAGCATATTAATTTTTTTGACAAATCATATTCAATATTAGGCACTAAGTAATTTACTAATTTACTAGGATTTTACATGAATCAAGATACTTCTTTTAGTTGTAAATCTAAAATGATTACTTTACGAAACATTAAAAGTTTAATACTTTATTATATTATAGGTATACAGTATTGAATTTTAAATATATTTATTATTAAATGCAAACAATAAAAACAACAACATTGTTTTGATAAAATAATTAAAATAGAGATGTTAATGCATATTGTTAATGTACTTTCAGCTTTATGACATCTACTTCTCGGATGAGTGTAGCCGTACCAGATACTAACGGACCAAAGAAACAAAAAACTAACAGAGATTATCCCCCCCCCCCACTCGACATTATTTCTTCTATTGGAAGCTACTAAAGATCCTGTGCTTACCTAGTTAGAAAACTCTAAGACATTTTACCTTCACGGAAATTAAAAAAAAAAAACAACAAAGAAATTAACAATGTTTCTTCTCTTTAAAAGCCTCGGAAATGAAATATGATTATTATTTACATCAGATATTTACTATTATTAGTGGGACTTTAGATATAATAAGCGATAATCTGTTTATCAAATTTATTATAAGCAGTCATTGCAGTCATACATCATTGCAGTCATACATCATTGCAGTCATACATCATTGCAGTCATACATCATTGCAGTCATACATCATTGCAGTCACACATCATTGCAGTCACACATCATTGCAGTCATACATCATTGCAGTCATACATCATTGCAGTCATACATCATTGCAGTCATACATCATTGCAGTCATACATCATTGCAGTCATACATCATTGCAGTCATACATCATTGCAGTCATACATCATTGCAGTCATACATCATTGCAGTCATACATCATTGCAGTCATACATCATTGCAGTCATACATCATTGCAGTCATACATCATTGCAGTCATACATCATTGCAGTCATACATCATTGCAGTCATACATCATTGCAGTCATACATCATTGCAGTCATACATCATTGCAGTCATACATCATTGCAGTCATACATCATTGCAGTCATACATCATTGCAGTCATACATCATTGCAGTCATACATCATTGCAGTCATACATCATTGCAGTCATACATCATTGCAGTCATACATCATTGCAGTCATACATCATTGCAGTCATACATCATTGCAGTCATACATCATTGCAGTCATACATCATTGCAGTCATACATCATTGCAGTCATACATCATTGCAGTCATACATCATTGCATTAAAAACTCCGGAGGTAAGGGGTCGTCCAGGATAAATGACGTTACATTCGTAAGGGGAGGGGGGGGGGACATAATTTTTGACGGTGTAGGATGAGGGGAAGGGGGTGGGTCAGATGGTGTGACGTCACATTTATGCACTATAAAAAAGCAATATTAGAAAACGAGTCTCAGCCGTTATTTCGCATTTTAGAAAACGTTTTGATAAATTGTAATATGAATTGATTTAAATACTCTATGTTCACAGAGTTCAGACTAGATTTTGGGAAAATATCGATGTTTTAAGAAAAATTCAACTGCAATTTTGAGGGTGGGGGGAGACGTTAGGCTGAGTTGTGACGACATTTTTGGATGACCCCTAACTAATTATTATCACTTAATCACCCTGCAGGAAAACATAATAACCCTTTCAAACAGTTTAATACAAAAATAGTATGTGTAAAATCTTAAGGAAATTCAAATTATCACCCCATTTTGATAAGTTATTGAAGGAATAGAATCATAAAAAATTACTTGAAGACTACTTCAAAACGTTATACAAATGTGAGTGTTGGCTTGCAATAAAAATAAGTATACTAACATTGTCATTGTTAATTTTTTATCACTTAAAACTAACCATTAGCATCAATGAATAAAAAGTCTGATATAAATGTGGTTGATCACAGATTATGTCAAGCTAAAATGATTTTAATTTGGATTGTTTTTAAACCTTGCAAGTTAGCTGTTTCACTCAGAGCTTTGCTAGAACATGGTTGTAGAAAGTAGGACAGCAAACACAACGCCCATCTGAACAAGGGTTGATTCTGTAAACAATAGAGCAACAAACATGACGATAATATAATTGGATTGTAGTATTTTTAGCGCAATTTCCATTCTGGAGAATTGCGTTTATTAACCCGTCATTTCTGGATGTATGGATGTATGAATGGATGTGTGTCCGCAGCTTTAAGTCGTATCTCCTCCTCAACGAAGCAATATCGAGGACTAGTTCCAAAAGCAATTATGTTAAACAAGTTACGAGGATGAACATAGGCCAAAAACATTTCGGGTTTCTTTCATGGATTTCCCGAAAAAGCCAAAAAACCTCGAAAAAAGCAGTTTTTGGCCCATATCTCGGCAACCAGATCACTTAGCGACTTGAAACATGTACCAATCGATTTCTGCTATAATTTAGAACAGTATTGCCAAAGAACGTTTTTAAAAATATCCTTTCGTTTGGTCACAAAAAAAAATTTTGAATTAATTAAAATTTGGACCGAATTAGTAGGCATTTTTTCCAACCACACCACACGCGTCATCACGTTCAATAGCTGCGCCATCACATTCAATGGCTGCGTCATCACGTTCAGTAGCTAGGCGCGCAATGGTTTTTAGTCATTTAACTCTATTGTAAATAAAACATGTAAAATACTGAAAAAAAAATTAATAAAAAACGTCTTAATAACAAACCAATGGTTTTACTAACCCTGCTCTTGATTTACGCTAGGATAACATAAGGAAGTTGCGCTAAAATTGTCACTAGACTTTTTAATTACCTTGTTTTTACTTTCTCGTATATACGAAGTATAGAGAAAGTATTGTAATCGTGCACAAAAATCACTTGAAATTTTAACAATTTTCACCGTATTACACCTCAGTCCTTCATCACATCCGAAGTATAGAGGACTTATTTTAATCGGGCAAAAATTATCAATCCAGATGTATCAAAATTAAGAGGTTTTGTGTGTAATCCAGTCTGAAAAACTGGGCTTTGCAACTCTGTCCGTATGTCTGTGTGTCTGTGTGTGTGTGTGTCCGTGTGTAAACACGATTACTTGAGTACCGTTACAGCTAGGTTGATGAAATTTCATATATAAGTATTTTATCAAAATCGTAGATCCGTATCAACTTTTGAACGATTTCCGATAACCGGAAGTGGTACTTTTTCTACTTTGAATTTTTAAAAAGCCTATAACTTGATTATTATTTCACATAGATAAATGAAATTTCACATGTAAGTAAAAAATCTAATTCTGTACCTTCTGTTAAATTTTGAGTAATTTCCGTTGACCGGAAGTAGTAATTTACGCTACTTCCGATTTCTCAAAAAACTAATGTAAATTTTAAAAGTACTAATAATATTGCGCACTATTAAACACTCTTTTATTTAGCGTTCACTTGGTGTGCAATTCATTTGTCTACGAGATTTTATTCTATTTTTAAAACTTTAGGTATTTAAAATTGATTAAAAATCATGTCTATAGCCCGAGTTCCCGTCCCCTGTTGTTTTATATAAGAATATTCGAGAAAGTTTAGGGGAGATCACTCCCGGTTTATTAACTATCGTAACTTTACAGATCTAAACAAAGTTTTATTTCTTTTCTAACATGTTGCAAATTTCAAGTAGACTACTCGTTTTCCTTGGATGACTATGGGTTTCTGAGGTCATCCATAAATGACTTCACGTTTGTTTAATGATTTTTAACTTTCACCTCTCATTCCCACTGTCAAACATCGTCACGAAAACCCAGACTTCACATTTTAAAAAGGCCTCACATCTCACAAAACATGATTTTGTCTTTCTAAAAACCGATTTCGGCTGAGCATGGGTCTGACAACACTATCCTTTCAAATGCTCAGAAACAGGCAAACTAGACTTCACCTGCCCCATGTTCCGCCAAGTCCCGAAAGGCAAATTTATTCTTCACATCTACAAAGAAGTCACACCTCAGCTTACATGGTTTTGTCTTTTAAATACATCGATTTCTTTCTATAAGAAAGAAATGGGCACGAACCGTTTGAATAATAAATGAATATATTATTAATGATGAGTTAGAACCAAACGCGTGTGTTGTGGTTTAGCACTGTGCATTTTCTATGAGGGAAAATTAAAAACTATAAGAAAAACAAAAATTAACATGATGTGTTTCGAACCCGTAACATCCGTAACTATTACACTATCATCTCGGCTAGCTAGGCACATATCGTTAACAGAAAATATATTGAATTATTTGTTCTTTAGCCTGCGTAAAAGAAATTAAAATTACGCGAATATAACTTTAATTAAATTATATCCTAATTTAGCCGAATTTAGTTTAAAAAATATTTTAGGACTAAAATAGTTTAGTACAGAAATTCAATTACTCGTTGTGTGTTTACTTTATATTAGCCTTGATTCTAGATCTAGAATCTCTAGATTTCTTTAGATATTTTCCACCGAAAATGGCGTACGTCTATCGGTATTCTTGAATTAGATAATTTGTGAAGCTAAATGCGAAGATTTAAATCAAATATTTAAGGACTTAAATGGTTCAATAAATAAACTCATTCATCTATCGTATTGTTATCCTTGTTTTTCTATTTATCTTATAAATTTTGGTTTGGCCTAAAATCTAGGATATCGATATATGTTTTGTTTTACTTGGACAAAATCCTATTTAGTGCTATAAATCCCGGTGAAAGATTTTAATGTTTTTGTAAATAAAGTATTTGATCTGAACCTTAATAATAATCAAAGGGGTGTTTCTACAAATGTGTACAAATATATATATATATATTATCGTCTCCTTAAAAATTTGTGTATAACATTTGGGAAAATAAGAATATTATTCTCTACATAAATACGTATTTTACAGTTCTACATATAATACAGGTGCTCTCATCTAACGGAACAGACAAACAAAAACAAAAAAAAACAAAATAAATAAATCTACATAGGGCCTACTTGTAAACAACTCGAGTTTTAGTATAATATAGCTAGAAAGATCATCAAACAAGAAGCATATATTTTTGTGTCCTAAGTGCCGTCATAGGTTTGGTGTTTTTCTATAGTTGCTAATTTGTGTGTTTAGTAAGTAGTACCAAACGTTGTCTTTACTTTCTAAAGTTGTTTTTTAAAGGGACACACTTTAATATGATCAAAAACGCGAAAACTATGACAATTTTCGATAATTTTGACGAAAATGGTAGACTATGTTATTCTATAGTGGATGTCTCAGAAGCATAAGCTAATTTTATATCAAATTTATTTTTCTAAAGCATAATCTAAGAATTGTCATCTTCCATGTGTATTTACGAAAATTAGCGGTTTGTAACATACTTCAAAATTTCTATTGCAACCCCAGAGTAGACCAATGCCAGTTAGCACATTAATCAAAATCACTGTCAAATTAACTCTGATTTTATTGTCATTTATTACATAGACTGTGATTAGATTGCCAGTGG